GGAACAGCAAAGAAGCTTCTTGAATGAGAGGCAAAATGTTTTAAAGGGGGGAAAATCCAAGAAAATAAAGTTGCTTTTTGAAAAAGCACCTTTAGGAGATTCTAAGAATTGTTAAGAGATTTTCTGATAACTAGCACTTTCATGTTGCAAAAGTTTAATCTACCCTTGTTCCTCTCTATCCAATCTCTTAACAATTCTTAGAATCTCCTAAAGGTGCTTTTTCAAAAAGCAACTTGATTTTCTTGGATTTTCCCCCCTTTAAAACATTTTGCCTCTCATTCAAGAAGCTTCTTTGCTGTTCCTTGCCCAAGAAAATCCAAGTGCCTACCATTTGCAACTTACCAGAAGATAGCAAAGTACATATGTTAATAACCGATCACATCTCCATCTCCCCTGTTTAAGAGTAAAAACCATAGAGCAAAACTCGACTCTTTGCTAGCACTTATGATGTTATTTAGTTTGGTATGTAATGGTAAGTACTTAGTAATGAAATATCTGTAAGAAAGCGAGCTTAAAGAGCACCAAGGACCCATCATTTCAACCCTGAGCTACCAATATTTTATTAAAAACAAGATCAAATGTATGCCAACCTACCTGGAGATGCTTGGGAAAATTTTATTTGTATGTGTACCGCTAAAGGAAGAAATCAGACAGAGGGAAATGAAATTATGCCCAATTGCAAGAGTCATTCAGTCTGGCAAGAAGAGCTCCTGGACAGAGGTTTCTCAGGGATTTTCTCACTGCCCCAGAAAGGGAAGGGGCCACTAGCTATTCTCATTAGCAGAAGGGAAAGGCTTTCCAAAAACCAAGAAAAGACCCCATTCCTTCAGTGGAACCTCACCCTCTCTGACCACCACCACCCATAACCACTATGAGACAATTAAGGGTATGGAAGTTTGGGATGAGAATAATTATTTCTACCTAATAAATCAGTGCAACATCTCTCATAAGGAAAATATGCATTGTGGGCTTATGTGAATCCCGCAACAAGAAATTCTCTCCAACTACAACATACTTACCCAAGCACAGCAACCATCCAATAGCTAGGACCATGAAAATGGCTGCCAGAACAGTGATTATAATAGACACTGCGTGGGGTGCTTAAAGAAGAAGAAGAAGAAGAAAAAACTCACCTTATTGGTGAGACGGCTGGCACATAAATGTAATAAAAATGAATCTAAATAGAAAATATGTATGTGTTTCTATTATGGAGAATTCAAAGCACATAAATTAGTTCATGTTCATGAACTTGGGATATCGCAGGAAAAGACAACTCGCCTACCGTTTACTGTTTCAGCTTGGAGGTAATACTATCTTCCTAAAGATTTACCTTAACCTAAAATTAAATTTACCTAAGGACAAAATTATTGCACAGCAAACACAGATAAGAGATGGAAAGGCAGCCCCTAGCTTGGGTCTTTGACTACAACATTAGTTTTAGGATCTTGAAGGTGGGAGGGATATTATGGAATGGAAACAGTGCTGCGCAAAACAAAGTCAAACTTAGCAGCTATCCACTAAGACTCAGATTTTGCCTGGAGCTATCAATGAGACTGCAACACAGCTAAAGGTCTCTGGACTACTGTTTCTTCCTATTTGGTGAGAAATCCTCTGCCTTTCCAGCTTTCTATCTTTCCAAAATACTCACCAGGCACCATCAAAACCACCTTCAGAGGACTCTTCAGGCTGTCATGCTCTACATGACACTGGAAGTGATTCCGTTCACTAGGATTAATCGTAATGCTGAGCCAGAAGTGATATGTTCCATCTGAGCTGGGGGCAACTAATCCATGCAAAGTGTCCTTCAGATAGATTTTTCCATCCTTCCTCCAGGTTGCTTTGATATCTTTGGGAAAGAAACCATCCACTCGGCAGATGTGGGTTTCTCTTTGGCTGGCCTCTGTCTTACTTGTGACTGTCACTGATGGGGGCTCTGCAGAAATGACAGGATCAGAGTAAATATGGAGCATTTCCATGGATAGAATGTGAATTTCACTAGTAAGAAAAAACTTCCTAAATAATCTCAACTTTTCTCTATGTTCAAGCCCTGAGGAAGAAACCCTCCAATCTCTTAATCCTTTTGAGTGCCCTTTATCACACCTGTTCCAGTGCTACAGTACCATTTATGGTGGAACAAAGAGATGATATAATGTCACAGTTAGGGCATACCATCACACAGGTGGGCTTTGTCATGGGCTCAGATTTAGAATATGTCACTCAAAGAAGGACCTAAGTGTGTCTACTTTAGAAGAAATGTGTAAAGAATTGTTGCATTTTCAGGAAGCTCCTCTCCCCAAAGTATCTCATCCAAACCTTTTCTCAGCAGAACTTCCTTCCCATATGTGATGCGTCTCCTCAGCATTTCAATGCAAGTTTCCTCCAAGTAGTATTTTATGTGCTTGGCAACTGATGGTTTCCCTTCCAATTTCCTCTTGGACAGTTGAGCTGCCGTATCAGATGCTATCCAGCTGAGTGTCTCCTTGTCAAAGCTGATAAAAGTCCTCCCATCATAACTGTCCTGGTCAGAACCTCCTCGTAGCTGATCATGACTCAGTTTACAACCATACCTCCACTGCAAGGTGTGAAATCCTGAGGAGATACATAAGAAAGCAGAGAGATTAGAGTGGATATGACTGGTGATGAACACACCACTGGAAAATATGAAGGGTCAGGTTGGGGATAAACCATCCTGAAGAACGTCAATGAGGTCCCTACAAATCAAACGTAACAGATTTATCACAGTGAAGTGTTCTTCCCTATTAGAATGTGGAGAAAGGTGTTTTCTCTAGAGTTTTCCTTAACCACTCAACCCCATATTCTGGACCCTCTTCCAACTCTCCCTATAGCAAAGAGGAGCAGGATTTGCATTTCTGAATGGAGAAGCATACCTGACTTTTCTGACTTCCCTTTATGGAGTAGCAATTCCCCTCCCTCCCATTCTGCTGCAGAGATGAAGACCTTGTGTCCTTCCCCACACAATTACTCACCCTCACTGTGGTTGTAGTACTTCTGTAAGGTTACCAGGTTTCTCCCAAAGTCCTGTTCTGCCTTCTTTGCTATTCCAGTGTATTCCTCCCAAAGCGACTCCTCTTTCTTCACCTTCTCCATCCAAGGCACTAGAGAGAGATACTCTTTCGTCTTGCTGTCATAGTGAGCGATGGGCTGCCCATCCACAGACTCCAGGATGCTAAACTGGGGCAGCCCTTGGCTGGGCTTTGAAACAAAGGTGTAGGAGTAATAGAGGGAGTGCGAGGAGGAGGCTGGAGAGACCAAAGAGGACAGAGTTATGGATATCTGCAAATGGAACCTCCCTCCCTTACTGCTCTCCAGGTGAATGTGCAAAGAGCCCCTTCCAAACTAGCTTCCTCTTTGGGATAGGCAGAAGAATTGTTGTCAAACACTTTTCATATGTCAGAATTTGGGGTGAGGTGAAGAAGGGAGCTATCTCCATTTCATGATTGACACACTAGAAACTATTTTTGACATGTATAGTTTTGACAACCAATAGTTTTGCAAGGGTATAGCAACCTCAAATTATTACCATTGTGCCAGCACTGAAATATATTTTCAAAAACTAGTGAGTCACATTTATTTCCTGAGTTCAGTGGTAGAGCAGTGATTTAAATGGAGGTTAAGACAAGTCCTTTAGTGGGTGGAAAACTGATAATGGGTAGATAAAAAATAAAACAGTCCAATTACAGTGTTTTCCTGAAAAGATGACCTTGAATTTTAGCTAATTCTCCCAAAGAAAGAGTAGATATATTTTTGTATAGTTGTATGACCACAACTGCTGCAATGCCCAGCTTCTTCATTTCTCACATCAGAGTTGTTGTCTGTTGAAACCACAGTTGTTTCCTCAGACTTAGTGCCATGTGTGAACTCCCGCTCTCTCTCAATGCCCCAAGAATGGCTCTGTGGATCAGCCATTCTAACAAAGGGAAGGGAAGGGAAGGGAAGGAAAAGAATAATGATTACAAGCCTCAGAGAGAGAAACAGATGAAATTGCACTGAGGAGCCTCTTTCCTTTTCCTTCAATTTCTGGAAGCAAATGGCGAGGTAGGAGAGACCAGGAAAGTCCAATGAAGGAACAGAAGATGAAGTGAAGCCAGAGTCTCTCCATCAGGTTGGGAAGAGATCTTGTATCCTCTTAACAGAATAACAGTTGGACAGGGACCTTGAAGGTCTTCTAGTCCGACCCCCTGCTGAAGCAGGAGNGCCTGCAGTACTGCACCCTAACCACTGCGCCACCTCGGCTCTTTTTAGAGAGAGAGAGCAAGATTGTGGGGGGGGGATGGGCGGCTGGAGGGTCTGAGGGAAGCTGAGCTGGAGCCTCAAAGGAAAAAAAAGGTTATACACTATTTGCCTCTGAAGGGAACAGGGTTAAGTAACACCTTTAAGGCACTGCTGTGACAAGAAAAGGAAAGACGTTTCTCTGAAGGGTTAATTAAGGGTTAATTAATTAAGGCGCCTTGTCTTTTAGGCACAGCTGTGAACAATTCTGTCCATATCGTATTCCAAACACAGGAAATTAAAGAAAAGGGAGGACGGAGCCTCAGTCTCAGGTAGGAGGTATTTCATAAGGTGGCTATTTTGGGAGAGAGGGCAGGATTCTTGTGGGTTGTTATGGGGTTCAATGCTTGGCCTGTTCTTTTGCAAGATGGACTACTGAGATTAAGGGTAAGATTATTCTCTTTTTTGAGAACTTTAGCCACCCTTTGCCAGAAGATCACTGTGTTGCCAACTTTATCACCATTTTCTGACCTCTTATATTTTAGAAGAAAAAGTTAAAATTTTAGAAAGTTAAATGTAAATTGGTGGGGGAGCTCAACTATAGCATCAAAGAAATGACCAGATGCTGACTCTGGAACAGATCATGAACGTCTCATGTGGAAGATTCATCTTAAGAAGAAAGCCAGTCAGTTTCCACAATAGGAGAACAATATGAATCACTTTGGAGCTCCTGAACTTTATTGATAGAGAAAGTCTAGGATTATTACTTCATTTGAAGGGAAGATTAGAGTGAGGTGCTGTGAGTAATGGATAAGTGTGAGTATGGGAATTCCTGCAATATTTAAAGAACTGAATTCTGTACATTCACTATCAAAGTCTGATCTTTGCAATACAGAAATGTGGAAGTGTATTATGACTAAAACAAAGGAGATTTTGAAGGAGTTCCAAAAATAGTTACCAATGCTCACTATGCTGAAAAAGGTTACAAAACTATTTCCAAAGAATTTGGATGCTACTGTCCATCATGTAGAAAATCTCTTTGGAAGGAACAATAGTGAATTTCAGAAAGCTAACAAAAGATATGCCATATTGCAATAACATCTATAAAGACATAAAGGTGTAAAACGACAGAGAAATTTTCCAAAAGAATCTCCAAATTTCAGTTTCTTTGGGAGGGGTCAAACCAATTTCTGCACCCAAAGACAAATGATGTAAGTCTACAGTAGATGATCACACAACTTGGGTAGATGTATTCAAGAGGGTATTCTTACATGAACCTCTCTTCTCAATATTGAGTAAAGATTACAGTTTCCTATTTGGAAAGCTTTGGAAAATAATTAGTACCTGGAGCTTGAAGGAAGACCTTTGATAGGTTTGAGCCAAGGTGGCGCAGTGGTTAAATGCAGCACTGCAGGCTACTGCTAGATCAGCAGTTCAGCGGTTCAAATCTCACCGGCTCAGGGTTGACTCAGCCTTCCATCCTTCCGAGGTGGGTAAAATGAGGACCCAGATTGTTGGGGGCAATATGCTGACTCTCTGTAAACCGCTTAGAGAGGGCTGAAAGCCCTATGAAGCGGTATATAAGTCTACTGCTATTGTATTTTCACCCATTGTTCGTGTGTGTTACTAATCTGATATTAATCTTGATTAACACACTCAATACATGTCTATTGAAAATATTCCATGGAATACTTCAGTATTCCCAATTAAAACATTAGAAATTTCCTCAGTATACCTCATGCAATATTAATTGCATTAATTAATGCAATAATTAATTGCATTAATTATTTATATATCCCATATATTAAATTTAGAGACTCCCATCTCATTCTTAGAGTGGCCCTCTATAAGCCCCACTCTGAGGGAGATGGGCAGTTAAGAAGTATGATTGATAAATATCATAGACATTTTAAAATTCAGTGCCTAGTCTGAAAGTGATAATTTTGTGGTTGAAGTCCTTGGGCAGGAGACCCAAATAAGCTTTACAAGAACTGCATCTTCATGGAGGGAAGTATGCAGTGGAGTACCCCAAGGCTCTGTTTTGGGCCCAGTACTCTTCAACATCTTCATCGATGATTTGGATGAGGGAATAAATGGGAAATTCATTAAATTTGCAGATGACACCAAGCTGGCAGGAATAGCCAACACTCCAGAAGATAGGCTAAAGATACAGAAGGATCTGGACAAACTTGAACATTGGGCACTATCTAATAAAATGAAATTCAATGGTGAAAAGAGTAAGGTTCTACATTTAGGCAACAAAAACAAAATGCACAGGTACAGTATAGGTGGTACCTTGCTCAATAGTAGTAACTGAAAGGGATCTTGGAGTCCTATTGATCAAACATTTAAATATGAGCCAGCAGTGTGCAGCAGCTGCCAAAAAAGCCAACACAGTTCTAGGCTGCATAAACGGGTAGAATCAACATCACGTGAAGTGTTAATACCACTTTATAATGCCTTGGTAAGGCCACACTTGGAATACTGCATTCAGTTTTGGTCACCACAATGTAGAAAAGATGTGGAGACTCTAGAAAGTGCAGAGAAGAGCAACAAAGATGATTAGGGGACTGGAGACTCAAACATGAAGAACGGTTGCAGGAACTGGGTATGTCTAGTTTAATAGAAAGAAGGACTAGGGGAGACATGATAGCAGTGTTCCAATATCTCAGGGGTTGCCACAAAGAAGAGGGAGTCAAACTATTCTCCAAGGCACCTAAGGGTAGAACAAGAAGCAATGAATAGAAACTAATCAAGGAGAGAAGCAACTTAGAACTGAGGAGAAATTTCCTGACAGTGAGAACAATTAATCAGTGGAACAGCTTGCCTCCAGAAGTTGCAAATGCCTCAACACTGGAAGTCTTTAAGAAGATGTTGGATAGCCATTTGTCTGAAATGGTGTAAGGTTTCCTGTCTAGGCAGGGGGTTGGACTAGAAGACCTCCAAGGTCCCTTCCAACTCTGCTATTATATTGTATTGTATGTGGAGTAAGCATGACAGCAAAAATTACCCTGTGGTTAAGATGGGTGGGCAATAAATTTTATAAATAAATAAGATTTCTGGGAAACCAGTCAACTTTCCATCACATCTCCTTTTATTTCTCCTCTGAATTATTCTATGTTTTGCTTGTTTTCTCCAAGCAACCATTCAGGAGATAACATTAAGATACCTGTTTTTAATGTAAATGTGATTATTTTTTCCCTTAGTTTTCCCAGAGTAGTTTTAACATTTTCCCTGATTTGATTTTCCTCATGTAAAAATGCTCAATGTAAGAATTACTGTGAGTAAAACTGACAAGTATCTGCATTTTTCAAGATCTTTTTTGAAGAGTTTAATCTGCCTCCCACAACTTTTTTCAAAGTGGGCGCCATACTGGCACATGGGTGCAGATTGAATTATTCAGAGGAGTATTAGGCATTAATGGGATGGCACTGACTGTTAAGCAGCAAGGGAGTTACAGGAGGAGCAATTAGAATTATAACAACAGAAGAAGACACATAACTCATCCATCACTATTTGAATTGTTTTGATACGGTAAGCATGTAAAATTGTAAGCATACACAGACCTTTATAAATATATCAGATCTTAACTCTTGCAATAGTTCTCATTAGTGACCACAATTAGGACTAGCAGATCCGTCATTATTCATGTATTAATAATGTATTAAATGCATGTATTACAAAGAAATACTAAATGCATTAAATATTTTTAATTTTTTTCTATAGTTAAACACAGGACAGGTGGCATCACAAAAAACTTGATGCATCTGAGACTTCCCCAAATAGATTGAAAAATCTATATGATGTGAATTGCCATGAATTTGATAAATTCAGCAGCATACAGTTTTAAAAAATAATCCTCCAATTTGTTAAAACTTTTTTTAGAAAAATTCTGATGTAAACAGAAGGAGTTTTGGAGGTCAACTAACTTCGGAGGTCCTCCCTTTGGTTTTCTTCACCAGCAGTATTGTTGAAGACTCCTGTCTGTTGCAGTGGGATTTCCTCAAGGTTACTTCTGCCTGAATTGCTGGACTCTCTGTGATTCTCTGAAGAGAGAAAGGACAGGTGGTCAGTGATGAGGAAATGATGTGATATTTGCTCCCAGTTGCCGAATCACACCCTTTACTAAGCCAGAAAATCTCAACCTTGACAATTTGAGATGTGGGGAATTTTGGGAGATGAAGTCTACACATCTTTAAGTTGCCAAATTTGAGAAACACTNAGCCACTGAAACCCTATCCTCCTCTGGAACTTAACCAAGCTGGTTCCATTTGATCCCAAGAGATCCCATAGATCTCTTCATGAAGAACCATTCAGGGATGCTGGATTAATGAGATGTGACACTATCACTCCCACACTGGATCAATGGCTGCCTTCTGGCTAATTCATTTCATGTTATTATGCCACATGGTTTCTTTCTATTGTCAAGAATATTTTTTTATCCCAATTCAAGCTCAGATTATGCAAGAACAACCTCTCATATTTTTTACATTTTCTTTTGTATCTGCTTCCTTTTTTTAAAGAAAAGTTTGAATTAAACCTATATGGAGTGTATTGTGGGGAAATCTTTTAATACATTAAATATATAAACGTGCTTGTATATGTGGTTCTCTATTACTTTGAGTTGGTCTCTTAGGCTGCAATTAAGGCATCTTGTGCCCATTCACACATTTCCCTTTAGGGAAGTTTGCATAACTCTGTTGGATTCTTCCATTTCAAATAATATTGCTCATTTAAATAATGACCTTGCTGTGACTCTTCTATAGAGATAGAAGACATACCACTTTGGTTCCTTTTAAGTGATCTTGGAAAATTCCCCAACATGCACATTCAACCTTATCTATTTTTCACTTCACATGAAAATAGTAATAAACTGAGTGGTAATTCCTAGCAGTTCAAGCCTTGATGCCTCCAGGGGATGGGCCAAATGTGGACTCAGTCTTCCCCTGTTTTGATATTAAGTGTCAATTTATTTGGCATTAAAGTCTGGGTTTAATTTTCCAAGAGAAAAATGTTCATTTCCTATCTGAAGAGCAGAGTTCTGATTTCAGCCATTTCACAAGATCCGGTCTTTATTTTGCAGGAATAGGGCTGGACATCCCCCCCCCAGTTTTCCTAATCAATGAAGCCCACCCACACCCTATTGACCCATACTCACCTTTTCCTGGTTTCTGAGAATTCCTGGACATGCTTCATTTCCACATCAGATCAGTTGCTGTGAAACTTCGCTGAGATTTCTTTGATACTAGAATTAGGCTAGTGAAACTTTCTGGCAATTTCCGAATGTTTACACTTTGTAGGCTCACTTCTTATAGTCTCTTTCTTGTGATCAAGGAATTTCTCCACAGGTTTCTTCCCCACAAAACATTTCTTCTAGGTCCAGTTCAGCACCCCTGCGTCTTCAGGCTCACTTGGTTGAAACCTCCTTAGTGTCCTCTCTGCTGGAATCAGCCTGGCCAGATCTCTGGAGTTGTCCCAGCTTTGTCTCAATGNCATGTCTACCCTAGTCCTGATTTTCATTAGATTAGACATACTCATTGCATGCATAATTCTGTAGGATTTACCTAAAAGTGTAGTTTTTCATAAATCACTTAGATTTTCTGATTTACTTTTCTTTGATGGCAGGTCACTACTTCATCTCATCCCAAATCTGCCTAGTGTTCACCCCGAGCCTTCAAAACAAGCAGTTCCTGTCCCAAAATCCTTGTCCCACAACATCATTTCTACAACCTACACTCATACCCAACTGACTTCATGCCTCCTAGTTAATCAGCCCATCATTTCATCCTCAAAGACTATTTCTTGTCCCGAATGACACTTTATTTGAACCTGATGTCGCTTGCCGCACCTCATGACATAGGAGTGGAAAGGTGCACTTTTGTAGATGTATTGTGCCAACCACCACTGGACAGTCATGTTCCAATAGCGCATGCCATCCTTTACTTTGACACAAAAATCTGTTCCATGTGGATCAATGTTTTTGATTGTCTCATAATCGTAGGCAACACTGGATGCTTCCCCGTCAGCTGATCTGCTTGCAAGAGAAGAGAGAAAAATCAATTCCTTCATGCATTTTTAATGTCCAGAACTGTTCTAAAAATGTTTTCTGTATGGGACTGACCTTAAAAATGTCAATTAGTTTGTTAACAGAAGGAATCTGGCAATATCTTTTCAAACAAATTAATTCTGATCAGGACTATCATAGACTAATGTAGCTCTCCTCCTACTGTGTTGAATAATGGGACAACATACCATCTGTTTTGAGCACCTTGTGGTTTGGAATGCAAAATGGTATAGACACACACAAAACAAAAACCTGTAAGTTTATACTCAGCTATTTAGAATGGCAGAGCTTTTAGGGACCTTGAAGGTCTTCTAGCCCAACTCTCTGCCCAAGGCAGGAGTCTTCATTTTTTCATGGGGCATTTGTAAGTGCAAACAAGTTGCCATGTGCCTGAAATGTGGTAATATGACTGGGGGGGGGGGGATTAGGTGAGATGGTGCTATGCAACATTTTACAATAGACAGGAGTGTTTTACAGACTGCCAAAACATCAAATTGTTGTTTAATGATTGGTCATAAGTCAAGGATTATCTGCAGCGTCATGGAAAGATCAACTCTGCTAAATTATGTTATACTCTGTATTACTAATGAATATTTTGTTTGTGATCTTCAGACTTCTTTAAAAAATAAGTTGTTGTTTACTTCTTAAAAATTAGTAAATGAAGTCTATACAGGTAATCCTTGACTTACAATTGAGCCCAAAATTTCTCTTGTAGGGGAAACATTTGTTAAGTGAGTTTTGCTCCATTTTAGTATAGCAATAGCAGTTAGACTTATATATCGCTCCATAGGGCTTTCATCCCTCTCTAAGCTGTTTACAGAGTCAGAATATTGCCCACAACAATCCGGGTCCTCATTTTACCCACCTCGGAAGGATGGAAGGCTGAGTCAACCTTGAGCCGGTGAGATTTGAACAGCCGAACTGCAGTCAGCGGAGTAGCCTGCAGTGCTGCACTGTAACCACTGCACCACNGGGGGGGTGCCTATGATGGCCCTAGTCCTCTGCCTCTACTAAGATCAGGAAGAAAAGATTTTCTCCATGTCCCTTCACATAAGGAATGTCATCAATAGGGTTCATGAAGTAAGGCTTTCTCAGTTGCTACCCCAGTATCTCTGGAAAGGCAGTCTGCCAGAAATTAGATTGACCCCCACATTCTTTAGTTTTCAAAAGGAAATAAAGACTTGATTTTTTTTTCAACAAGACTTTGGGACTTGATGATATTATCTTGCTCTTCTTTGCAGGGAATGTCTAGATGTGCATTGTATTATCAGCATCTGAGGTATTTGGGATTGTCTATTTTTATACAAATTAGAAATGGAAATCTATTGAAAAATAATCCACATTAATTAAGTGCTCCATTACCAAAGTAACAACCCAAATTCCCACAAGAGAAGCTGTGTAAGAACAAGCTGTGTAAGATGAGTACTAATGCACTGCAGCAATAGGAACACCAAAAAAAGAGAACAGACCAGAGGTGGGGTTCACTTACTTCCCTACTGGTTCACTAATGTGAGTACATGCTCCTCATCTATGCATGTGCACTGCCTTCTGTACATGTGCAGTGCTCACACATTACATCGGGGCGGGGGCTGTGGAGCCTCCCACAGCCGCCGCTACCCGTTTGCCCAAAGCGGAGAGAACTGGCTGAATACCACCTCTGGAACAGACCACATACTGTATACATCTTCCAACAAAATTGGCCCCATGTAACTTTAACAAAAAGTCCTGACCAGTCAATTCACTACAGCACAACAAACAGAAGCTATGAAAAGGATAATACTGCTATACATCAAAAACACAAAGGCATTTTAGAAACAACCAACAGATTATTACATCACATATCATACCAACCAACTAAAGCCCTTTAAAACATGTTAACTAACCAAAAACCTCAGTCGCCCAAGTGGAGTGGGAGAGAACAGGAATAATCTGTAGTGTAAGGATTATAACAGCCACCAGGTAGGACTGGCAGGTAGGCAGAGTACATCCTGAACACCAACTAGCAAACAAGACACAATGAAAATTCCTTAACCTCACAACACCTGGATAGACTCAAATGGGAAAATTGTGAGCATCCTAAACTAAGCCAAATTTTTAAAAAATGCTAGGAAATCCCTGGAATCTTAGCAATCATACAAATCAGATTTCAATAGACACAGACATATTTTATAACATTCAAAAGAGACAATAAAAAACTAAAAAGGAAACAAGACAAGAATACATCTTCTCCAGCAGCCAACACCAAGATAACCAGTAATTAACACCAGTCAATCAAGCAGTAAATAACACCCTAATTAAGGAATTACCAAGGAGAAAACCATACCCTTACCAACATTGGCAAGATAAACTAGTTTATATAAATCCGACAAACTCCAAACTCACTACCACTGATTATGTTACCTAGTTGGTTAATGAAATGTCTGCAAGTAACCAAGCTCAGAGAACACTGAGGATTCCATAGTTTTATGTATTTATTTTATACAATTGTTGAAAACCATTCAGGTTCTATAATTACTGGAGTGGCCTATCAATCTACTAAAGTATTAGCTTACTGTTTCTTTACTAACAAATGGACTTTCCAGTAACTTAATTAAGATGTTAAAAAGCAATAGGAAGAAGGCAAAAATACAAGGTATACACATCCATAGCACCCAAAGGTGTGACTGTTCTTTCTTTACAACTATAGACAGGAAATGTCACTATGGTAGAAAAGAAAGATCTGCAAAGGATATCTCTCCTTTTCCCAAATTGCAAGTGATCAAGCAAGAAAATATTATTGATGTTATCAAACACCACAGATACATCTAAAATGATCATTCACTAGGTCTTTTTACCAGAGCAATCAATATTGTTTGTATCTGCAACATTCTATGTTGCATCTTAAACTATAATTCAGATTGAAAGTTGGATTATGATGGCAGCCTTTCTTTAGCTACTGTATTATCCCTTGGGGAGATCCAACATGTGATAACCAATAAAGAGGATAGGAATTCTTTATGTGAGTGGTAGGAAAAGTGGTTACTTGTATTTTACAGGATTTTCTTTTCCTTTTTTTAGTTAAGCATGATTTTTATCTTATTGTTTCAATATTTTAGATATATTTTACTGGTCTCATATGTTTCTGTCTCAAAAAGATGGGAAATTGCATTACAGTTAAATATAGCAATAGTACTACTGCATTTCAGAGAGATCCATGGCATAACCTATATCACACACAGTTCTTTAAAAGCTGATGGCATATTAAGATTACCCTCTCTTACTTTCTTAAATTAGCAATGGGGGGGGGGGATCTGTCAAAGTAACCACCTTTGGATTGGGACAGTAGGTTGTTGTTAAGTTTAAAGAAGCTGCTGAGAATAGACAAAGAGGCAGGAAGAGCAAATTCCTGCACAAGTAGCTGCTGGAACACCTATTGGTTTCTGATTAACTTAGTTTTCCATAACATTACTGTATTGCATTGGGAGAAGAGAGTGGTGGTAAATGGCCACGTGCTTTTACCAAGTATGCATGTGGCCAGAACCGGTATTACTTTGCGATGGATTTTCAAAGGACATCTCTCCTTGCTGAGGATTAACTCCAACTTGGACCTGGTTCTAATCAGGCAAATTAATTTCCGTGAAGTAAACCTTGTACAATGAACATACCTTAAAATAAGCACCAGCAGAAAAGTGTCATGGAATATGGGCAATATTAAACTTTGGCTTTTTAATGTGCTTAAAATCCCACTTTTTTCACTAGGCATCAGAATTATCCGATGACTAAAATATGGCACTCGTAATCATAAAATGTAGGCAAAGCTTACCCACACTTACACTGCCCTTACAGTCAACACTAGTTTTTCAGTACATTTGTCATGCCTCAGGGCAGTTCTGCTTCAAGTAAGATATACGAATACAACCACCCTTATGGTTTCTGAAGTAGTAAACAGGCACTGGAATTCCTTTGGAAGAAAGGAGATGACGTACTTTGATTATTCAAAATCATGGTACTGCAGTATGGTGTTGAATTTCTAAGCATTTCATCGTATTCATGCAAACTTTTATTGTTCTCTAATTTATTTGTATTATATTTTAAGACATGAACCAGCTTGTATTTCAGGAAAATATATTTGTTGATAAACCCCTATGGGGTGAATGTCCTTCCTTGTTTTGAAAGCCACTTTGATAAAGTTGACAACTGAAATGCCTTGTCAGAGAGATCTGTCTTAAAAAACATCTGAGTGCTCAGAGGTTCACCATTTACATATTCTCATCCTTCTCCAGCAACATTTGGAAGAAAAAACTTCCAAAGCCTGTATGTATTCATAGCAGAGGTGGGTTCCTACCAGTTCACATCTATTCGGTAGAACCGGTCCGTCAAATCTACTGAACCGGTTAGAAGAAGTTCCACCAGTGGACCCGGAAAGCAGGCCACACCTACAGAAGAGGTTCCAAAAAATTTTGAAACCCACCACA